CAAGGCAACCTGTAGAGCAGAACCATGTATCTTTCACTTGTCATGCTGCCTTATTTAAGCAGTTTCGCCCTTGAAAGGTTTGACTGCAAAATCAACTTGTTAACTAGTTTTGTCACTCTGAGTGTCAAAACTGATTCCTCAGGCAGCAATGTTTTTTTGATGGAAGAGAACCCTGACACTTATGGCTGGTATCATATCAAATAACCGTTTGTTAAAAATGCAAAGGGTCATGTATGAAATGGTTCCTTAAGATTCCTTTTGTGCACACCTGAAGGTCTCTTTGGTAATATCTGATCATGTACCACTGTGGGCTAGTTGGAATCTTGTGCAAATCAAGACTGACAGTTGCTCATGATTCCATTGCAGAAAAAGGATTATGGCATTGCCCAACCACATTACCCGATTTTATGGTCTTTGTGTGCAGCATAACATAGGCTTAATTCTCTTCGTGAGTAAGCAAACTTGTATCTTACCATTTTAGACCGCATGCAACCCAGGCATGGAGTCTTATCCATTGTTACCCAGTAAACCATGACAGGCTGTTAAAAGTTATTTTTCTGATGAAAACAAAACCATGTAATTTTGGGCCTGAAACATTATAGTGCAACATCGTTCTTCATTCAGCTTGTCCTAGACGCATCTTTAATGTCCCCCCCACTTTAACAGTTATAAGAGAGAGAGTTGAACATGAGCTTTCCTTGTGGCATCAACTCAATGCTCAAAGTCTATTTTAAGCGTTTGGAATTGAAGGGATTTATTTGTGTGTGTGTTTTTAATTATAAACCTGGCAGCTTAACATGGCCTTGGGGACTTTTCCTTTATTAAATGAACATCCTCCTAAACAGACATAGCTGACTTCCTTGTCTTCCTAGGCTCACTCCTTTAAAAATATGAAATCCAAGGTTGAGCTTTACTTGAATACAGGTTCTTTGTTCCATCGCTTATATTGAAAAACCATGCTACAATCTAGCCAGCTTTACAATAGAAGCAAATATCTCACTGGTGATAAAAATGTCATTTCTATTACAAGGATTTTTTTTTTAAAGAACATACATTATTATTTTAATCTAAAAACATTTAGTCAAGGAACCTCTTGATCCAGTGGAGACCATAATGTTCATTAGTCCAGTCAATTTTTTTATTTTTATTTTTACAGTTTATAGCCAATGGCTATTACTCACAAAAAAGTAATATTAAAAAAAATGGTAAATATATAAATTTACAGAAATGCAAGTTGCCAAAAAGAGAGTGAGTAAAGTTCAGCAATTATTTTAAATTTTTTTAAAATCCACCTGGCAGTAAAAAAAAGTAGTTTGTAACTTTTCTTATTGTTAGTGCCTATAAAGTGAACCTGCAGGAATCAAACTTGTCCAAATCAGCCAGCAACCATCTTATTTTCAAATTGTCTGCTTGACTTAGGTAATTATGAAATGAATAGAGGAATCTGCCCCTAGGTGACAAAAAGCTACATGATCTACGGCACAATGTTTTCCATCTGGCCTGATCCACATTGACAAATATGGTCACATATTGGCCTATGAAAGAATTTATTGCACAGATATTCTGGGATCACAGCTGGAAATCTAAGCAACACACAGCTTCCATAGTGTTTTTAGTGGATGTAGCACTGATTTCTGAATAGTAAGAGATAACTCATCACAGCAGTAGCCTTTAGCCTTTCAGACCAAGGGAATGCCTTAAACTTGTAGCATGTGATCAATGCCAGTTACTGAAAATCAGGTGGGCAGAGTGATGATGCACTCAGTTTCTGCTTGCGTTTTTTCCACAGGCATCTGATTGGTCACTATGAGAACAGGATGTTGGATTAGACTTCAAGGTTTCCAAAACTTGGGTCTCCAGCTCTTTTTGAACCACAGTTCCCATCATCCCTGACCACTGGCCCTGATAGCTAGGAATGATGGGAGTTGTAGTCCAAAAATAGCTGGCGACCCCAATTTGAGAAATGCTGGATTAGATGGATAAATTGGCCTGGTCCTGCAGGACTCTATTTATATTCTTATGGGTTAAAATCTATGCAAAATTAGGTTCACCCATGCAGTGCCCTCCTGATGTTGTTGGACTACAACTCCCACCACCCCTTATTGTCCAAAATTACCCTAAACATATATTTAGAAATTTCTGAAAACATCCCCTAAATCATTAGTGTGAAATTTCACACTAATGAAAATTAGTGTGTCACATGAATCGTGCAAATGTGACCTAAGACTTCCAGGCACATTTGAACCCTAGAAATTCAGATGTAGCCCCTGCTACACTTTATGCAGACTTTGAAAACAACAACAACAACAACAACACACCATTGGACTGTACCCAACTATGTTATACTTCAAGTAGACCCACTGAAATTATTGGACCTATAGTCATTGTACTAATTACAATGTCTCTAATCCGAGTTGCACTAACATTGAATATAACCCAGTGTGATTAATTGTTTAACATATTAATATCCTAGTTACATTAGTGATTCATGTCTTTTTTATATCAAGTTGCTCTGGAGAGTGAGTTGAGGAGGGAGATTAAATGGATATGAAGCTAATTGGTCTTTTCTGTGGGGAAGGGGTAAAGGCACAGCGAGTGTATGTGCATATATCAAAAAGAATAATACTGTAATTGAAACTCTGTCATGGATTAAAATAGGCTTCCACCCACTTTCTCTCTTTTTGTTGAAGTTATATATTTGATCTGATCCTGGATAATTTTATTGGGCAAAGCCCGTGTACGTGTTAGAAATATTTACTAAGAAAGAATTACTATATGGGTGTCTTCAGTGTGATTGCAGTGAATTCAAGAGATGGCCTCTATTTGTTGGATTTTGCAGGGTGGGATATCTATTTCAGATTAGATATTCTCCACACACCAGGTACTGTTAGACCTTTCAGTGATTCCTGAAGAAGAGGGGACAAAAAGGCTATGTACACCTCTGTCCTCTGAAAAATTGCCGGAATATCTCCTAGGACAGCAACTTTACTCAACTCATTGGTTGAGCCTACAATCCTATGCATATTCACATGGAATCAAAACCCCACATAACTTACTAGGACTTACTCCAGAGTAGATATGCATAAGACTCTGCCATAGATTGATCAGCTGAAAAACAGCAACTTTGAATCAATTGAAAAACTTCATTGATTGGGTGAAAATATACCGTATTTTTCCGTGTATAACACACCCCCTTGTATAAGATGCCCCCTGTTTTTGGGGACTCAAAATTAAGAAAATGGGGGGATCCCCCAAAGTTGTTTAGCTTTTTGGGGGGAGAATTGCCCAGAGTTGCTGAGCTTCTTTTGTGGGGGTTGCCTACAGTTGTTGAGCTCTTTTTAGGGGGAATGCCAAAAATCGCTCACCCGCAAGACCAATAATGCCTCTCGCACGCTTCACAAAAGCTACCTGTCCTCTGTCCCCTCACTAACAAAGGCAGCAAATCACTCGCCCAATTGCTGCAGTGACAGCCAATCAACACCGTCCCTTTGCCACAGCCACCAATAACAATCTACCACTCACAGCAGCAAACAATCCCACGTCCCCACATTGAACAATCCATGTATAAGACAACCTCCAATTTTAAAGATGATATCTGAATAAAAAAACCTAGTCTTATACACGGAAAAAATTGGTACTTGCAAAAATATTTCATTACAGTAGCCCTTAACACCCTCTGCTTGTGACAGTAATTTGCTTTAAACTCTTTTTAATTTGTATTTTTACATTGCTTTTGTGGGAATGTTCAGGGATGCAGGAGAGGATATATTGTTTAATGATATCCTTCCTAACTTGCGTTAGCAAGTTCTATATCTTAGCAGAGTAACATTCCCCTTTAAACACACAGCGGTTTGCTTGTTTCAGTCTCATCTAAGTCTCTCAGTATAAGATTCCTGGTAAGATCCCGCCCTGCCCCTCTTAAAACGAATAAACATGAGAGTCTTATTAAAGTCAATATAAAAGTAGTTTACTCACATTCATTCAGTTCACAGTTGTATTCCTGAAGGCAGACTTAGGTTACAAAACTATATACACATGTGGAACTATCCCATAAGGGAGTTAGTTCATAAGTGACTGCAAACAGGCAGTCACTTCTGCTAACATGTAGAAGAGCAAAAATAGAGAAGAGACAAAGGAAAGAGCTGTGCTCCCTTTCCCAGGTTAGGCCTCTCTCTCTCACACACACACAGGCCTTTAGTCACATGCAGAGGAAGTTTTGTCACAGCTCAGGAGGAAACAGGAAGTTAGACTCCTGGCTGGTACAAAGCATCCACGTCCACTCTAGGAATGTTGTACTCGACTGCTATGTGTTTCACATCCCACAGCTTTCACCTTCCATCCCTTATAGTTAAGGGAGTGTAAGAAATACAACAACAACAACAACAACAACAACAACAATAAATGTATACCATTTTAGAATAGTTTTCCTTTTCACACACACAGAAGAAAACAACTCCTTTAGGAAGAAGCCCATGTCGTCTAGCCTATAATTGTTTTATAAATTAAGAATTAGCAACTGGATGAGTGACTGGATGGAATTTTGATGTGTAGGATTTTGATAGGAAGGGAACTGACAATCCCCTCTCCCAATTTTCCAGCTGAAATCACTCCCGGGAAGTTGCTTTCCTCCTCTGCATGTGCCATTGCAGCAAGCTGTGTGTTCAGGGTCAAAGAGCGCTATGGGCAAGATAGTTTTTGTAGGAAAACTGTAGGGTGGTAAGGAAGAGACGGAGTTCTGCCCCATATCCTATGGGCCAAAGGAGGATCTGGGGCCCCTACAGGTTTTTGTTTTTTTAATTTTAAAAAGAGCGTGGACTATTTTGCAGCCTTTTCAGACACAGAAGCAATCTTTAATCTAAACAGGCATTTGGGGATTTATTTCTTCATTTTTTATTGTATTTTTCTATGGTGGTAGTGCTGTTGTTGCAGACCACCTTAGATCAGGCCATGGCCCAGTAAATAGGTCCTGACCCACCAGCTGAAGACCAGCGTGCTACAAGGCAGGCTTCCATCATCTAAAAGCAAGTACTTTTTCTATCTGCTTCTTCTTTTTGCTTTAAAAGTATTGATTTTACTCACGTAGTAAAAGATCGTTTAGAGAAGTGGTTCTCTCTCCCCCCCCCCAAACCTCTGTTCGAGGTTCCTTAGAAGCTTATCAGGGGTTCTGAATTAGAAGGTCAGTAATGGTGGACAGGCTTCCTTTAAATTGCTATTGATTTTCCCTCTCAACATTTGGCTGCTTGGGATTTTTGCATGTTTTGATGTTTTTAAAAGCACTGAGAAAAGTTGGTAAAAATACAGGCGTAGGAAGCTGCCTAATATTGAGTCAGTTAATTGGTCTACATTAACGTGCAGTATACAGTGGTACCTCGGGTTACAGACGCTTCAGGTTATGGACTCTGCTAACCCAGAAATAGTGCTTCAGGTTAAGAACTTTGCTTCAGGATGAGAACAGAAATTGTGCTCTGGCGGCGCAGCAGCAGCAGGAGGCCCCATTAGCTAAAGTGGTGCTTCAGGTTAAGAACAGTTTCAGGTTAAGTACGGACCTCCGGAATGACAAGCAGATGCTCTACCACTGATCTAGAGAAGATAACATATTTTATTCCTCAGTAATTTAACCCATCATTATAAGAGCCAGTGTGGCTTAACGGTTAAAGTGTTGGACCACGACCTGGAAGGCCAAGGTTGGAATCCCCACTCTGCCAAGAAGCTCACTGGGTGACCTTGGGCCAGTCAACATCTCTTAGCCTAACCTGCCTCACATGGTTGTGAGGATGAAATGGGTAGGAGGAGAACCAAGTATAGCACCTTAAACTCATTGGAAGATAAAGTTGGTATATAATTGTGATAAATAAACCAATAATAACTACTGGCAACATTTATTTAATGAAAGTATTTTCAGGGTGGAAATACAATTCAAACCAAGAATATTTTTTTTTTAAATAATTTTTATTAAAGTTTCAATAAAAAGTTGAACAGAAAAAACATAAAAAAGAAATACACAAATACACAATACAAATTCCCAAAAAAAGAAAACAAAAAAAAAAGAAACAGAACAATTAAAAACAATATCACTTTTTCATTTCCCTTTTTTAAATTTACTTATTTTCTGGACTTCCTCATACCTCCCTCTTTTGTATTCCAGTCCAAATTGTTCCTCCAGCAATTTCTTTTCCACTTTTTAACCCCAATCTTTATTCTTAGTGTAATATAGCATTAAAAATTTACCTCTTAAGTACCAAATTTCCCTTTCCTTTAACTTATTTACTCCTAATCTTTAATCTTGATGTAATATAGCATTAAAATTTTACCTCTTAAGTACCAAATTTCCGTTTCCTTAAACTTCTTTAATCCTGATCTTTAATCTTAGTCTGTCTTATAATTTTATCCTGTACAGCTGGAAACCACTTATTTTCAATCCAACATCACTCTAACATTCCTTAATTTTGCAATATTTCTGTAAGTAGTCTTTGAATTTCTTCCAATCTTCTTCCATCGCCTCTTCTCCCTGGTCACGGATTCTGCCAGTCATTTGCGCCAGTTCCATATAGTCCATCAGTTTCATCTGCCATTCCTCCAGCGTGGGAAGTTCTTGTGTCTTCCAATACTTTGCGATAAGTATTCTTGCTGCTGTTGTTGCATACATAAAGAAAGTTCTATCCTTTTTTAACACCATTTGGCCGACTATGCCCAGGAGAAAGGCCTCTGGTTTCTTAGGGAAGGTATATTTAAATACCTTTTTTAATTCATTATATATCATTTCCCAGAAAGCCTTAATCTTTGGGCACGTCCACCAAAGGTGAAAAATGTACCTTCAGTTTCTTTACATTTCCAACATTTATTATCGGGCAAGTGATAGATTTTTGCAAGCTTGACTGGGGTTATGTACCACCTGTATATCATTTTCATAATATTCTCTCTTAAGGCATTACATGCCGTAAATTTCATACCTGTGGTCCACAACTGTTCCCAGTCAGCAAACATAATGTTATGTCCAACGTCCTGTGCCCATTTAATCATAGCCGATTTTACCGTTTCATCCTGAGTGTTCCATTTCAGCAGCAAGTTATACATTCTTGACAAATTCTTAGTTTTGGGTTCTAACAGTTCAGTTTCTAATTTTGATCTTTCCACCTGGAAGCCAATTTTCTTGTCCAATTTAAATGCCTCCATTATCTGGAAATAATGGAGCCAGTCTCACACTTTGTTTTTTAATTTTTCAAAACTCTGCAATTTCAGTCTATCTCCATCTTGTTCCAAAATTTCCCAATCAATTCAAACCAAGAATAAAACAGAGTAAGAGCAAAACATAATGCAGAATTCAATTAGAAATAAAACCAACCATGGATGCAGAAATGCTAGTGTCCAAAGGGGCATCTTACCCGTAGGCCAGTGGTGTCCAAACTTTTTTCAAAGAGGGCCAGATTTGATGAAGTGAAGGGCTGTGAGGGCCAAGCAAAGTTGTTGACCTTTTTTTAGGATTGAAGTTGTTGAGGTTTTTTTAAGACCCCTCCCCGGGTCCTGGGCTCTCAGAGGTGCCAGGCCAAGAGTCTGGGGCCTGAGAGTTGAGTCTGGAGAAGAGCCTGCCTATCAGTTGGAGTGCTGTGGTGGGCTCTTCTGCTGCTCCGTGAGTTTAGGGGCGACCAAGCCAGCGAGACGCTGAGGCAGCTGGCTGGCTCCACCCTGCTCTGCGCCCGGGACTGGGCAACTGGGGGGGGGGGAATCTTTACATCCCTGTGCTGCATATGCTTAAGACAGCCCTGAGTGCCCAACTCAACTTCCTCCTCTTGGACAAAGAAGTGTTTCTTTACTCGCTGGTGAAATGACTGCAGTGTCCTGATAAGGCTCGCATCAGAGTTGAGGATCCTCCAAATTTAAGGAGCCACCCCAGATAAATTTATTCTGTATTTTCTGCATCTGGCTGACTGCACCTGCTGCACCACAGCCATAATGATTTTGCTCAAGAGAGATCAGACACAATTGTCCTTATTTAAGACCAATGTTTGAACAAGGAAGCTGCTCTCAGTAGCATTAACATCCAGCTTTTTCAGCAGATTTTTTAACTATTATCTCAATCTTGATTCAAAAAAAGAAAAAACTTTAACAGAAGACTTCTGCTTCGTAAAACAAAACAAAACAAAATATTAAAGCAGGAGTGGGGGACCTCCAGCCCTCCAGAAAGTGTTAGACTACAATTCCCATCATCCTGAACTATTGGCTGTGCTTGCTTGGGCTGATGGGACCAACAACATCTGGAGGTCCACAGGTTTCCCATCCATGCTCCAAAGCCTCATTGTCCTGCATTTCCCACACTCATTTTAATTCTGTCCTGCATGTTTGTATATGTGTGGGTTGCCATATGTCATCTTTTCCCAGGACGTGTCCTCTTTTTCATGGGTAGAGTTGTCATAGCGATCCATAGCTAAAATTAGAAATTGGTAAGTGTGTCTACTTTTTTGCTCTTCAAAATATGGCAATCCTACATGTGTGAATTTGTGTGTAGAGTGGCTATGCTCACCTTTTGCCACACCCACCTTTGGCATGAAGTTCCTGGAGAGCTATCTAAGGGCGAACAAATTATTCACCCCTGCTGTTAAAAAAAAGTCTTTTACCCATGTTTTCTCTTTTTGTTGGTGGGTCTTCAATGTTTTAGATATGTTATTGTCTGGTTTGGATTTTGTTGCAGAATCTTGGTTTTTACATACAGTGGTACCTTGGGTTAAGTACTTAATTCGTTCTGGAGGTCCATTCTTAACCTGAAACTGTACTTAACCTGAAGCACCACTTTAGCTAATGGGGCCTCCTGCTACCGCTGCACCGCCGGAGCACAATTTCTGTTCCCATCCTGAAGCAAAGTTCTTAACCCGTGGTACTATTTCTGGGTTAGCAGAGTCTGTAACCTGAAGCGTGTGTAACCTGAGGTACCACTGTATTGATGATTTTAATGGGAAACACTACATTTAATTTTTGCTTTGGATTATAAATAGCCTAGAGCTTCTTTGAAAGATATGTGTGGTGTACTTTTTGTTATTAAAAAGTTAAATAAACAAATAGACCTCACTCCTTGCCCCAACGAATTAATTTTCATTGAGGGAAATAACCTCTGGATTTAAGAATACCTCTTTACACTTAAATAAATACCCTCAGATCCACTGAATGGACACCTGGAAGGAGACTTTGATTTTTCCAAAAATTGGAAAGCACAGATGCCTCATAATTTGAAAAAGTTCTTCAGCTATTGCTCATCAAAGTTTGCATTCCCCCCCCTTCAATACTACATATCCTAATTTGTGAGAAATCTTCAGTCTCCTCCAAAGATCGCAGGCACTTCACCTTTAAAATCCAGAAAGACATTTTCAAAGGACAAGAGAGAAAATATTTTTCTCCGAAGGAAGACAACGAGATAACTGTGATATACATATGCACATGCTTATACATACAAATATATCTCCTAGCTCTCTGTTTCCAAGCCAAATAGCTACACTTCCTCTCCTTTATTGTAAAAAATAACTTGGGCAGAGTTTTCTTTCCCAGACCATAAATATACACTGTGTGTATTGCTCAATTTTATAAATGACTAACAAGTGCGGTTGAAAAATAATTTCTTTCCTGCACAGTGACCAGTTTGTTTTGGCCTGACGTGATGAATAGCTTTCTTATAACACACTTCTTTACCCACACAACACCCCCCCCCACTCCAGTTGCAGGGAAGATTTAGAAGTCTGCTGATTAAAGATGGTAGTGCAGCCGAGCTGGTATTTTGACAGAAGAAACGGAAGCGAGCATTGTATAAAAATGTAATAGGGGAGGATCTCTTAAAGGACTGTTGTGGGAATCGAGGGTTATATGATTACTCTTGCTTCACATAAAAACTAGTCTGAGGATTTATTTTTGCCTGACCGCTGGGGCTTTGAAGTTTCTGAAAAATGTTATTTTATACATTGGGCGAACAAATGCCCTTGTAGCAGAAATAAATCACCTCTTTGTACAGAACAATCATACATATATTTGGCTACAAGCACCTCGTTTCCTGAGTAATTGTGAACAGTCTGGCAAGCGTTGAAACTTTCCTTAGGCTGAGCTGAAGTAAAATAAGCCTTGTGCCTTTGTTATGGGAGTTTGGTAGCTCTAAGGCACAGCTTGACACTCTTTGGAATGTCTTGTTTTCAAATACTACCATTATTACTAATATTATTATTATATGCATGGTGTTGTATTCATACTAATGGAGGCAGGGATAAACTAGGCTTGCTGACATGTAACAGTCAACACAGGTGCAATCTGTCTGTATACATGCACAAGTGTTTATGTGAAAGAATATACACTTTTTGATTTGTACAGCTCAGTTGTTGTGTACATATTGTATACACTGGTTGAATGTTACATGTGAACAGCTGTATGGGTGTACAGCTCAACCATCTGTGCACACAGGTACATAGATTGTACTCTTGTTGAATGTAATGTGTGGACAGCCCTATGTGAATAACTACACCACTATCTGTGTTGCTGGAGTGAAAGGATGACCCATACTTAGACTGAAAGCAGTTGGAAGAACAAAGATATCTAGAGAGTAGCAAAAGGGCTTCCCTCAATCACAGTTATATTTGTCCCTTTTGGTGAGTCATGGGGTCAGAGGTTCTACCCCCTCCTTGATTTCCAACTACTATGGTGGGTGAGGAATGATGTCTGAATCCTACAGCCAGAAGCTAGGGTGAGGTTAGACAGGCCAAATGACTCATCTCTAAAAAAGCATTCTCCCTTACAGCACATGAGATGCAGGTCTCATTAAGTTGAATGGGTCCAACTCTCAGATAACTTTGTTTAGGACTGAAGCCTGAAACACTCTCACAAAAGAGAATGACTGTTTTGTGTTGATGTTTGTTTGTTAATTATTTTTAACAAAAATAATTGCATAATTGCTGCTCAATTAATGGGGGGGGGGACACCTTTGAGTCAATGAGAAAGTTCTTAAATTACCAATGTTTGATCAATTGAATACATATAACATTTTAAAAATTATTATTCTACCACTTTCTTCGGAACAGTGTTTATTAATTTATTAAACTTACTGCCCCAAGAGGCTCTCAAGGCGGCTTACAAAGAATATCAAAATGGAAATCTTATTCAAGTCTGGAATCAGGAGGAGAAATAACATGGTGTCAGGATTGTTTAGGTGGTATTTTCTGACTTTATTCTTCATCTTGCACGGTGCTGCCCGTTGACCTCTACCTACTAGGCAGAAGAGCTTACTGATACCCTCTGAGGCAGAGGAGTGGGGCTAAGCAGCTGGAAGCTACTCAACCCATGATAGAGGCAAATAAAATAAATATTCAGATCTGAGATGTTCTCTCATTCAGTTGTTGTTTCTTGGGTCACTGGACCAATATTAATAGCAAGAAAGTCCCCTTCAGAGCTCTTGTTGCTAGCCCAACACTGAGAAAGGATTGTTCATTTAGCCACAAGAATAAAGGTCAAATCACTTGGGAAACAGCTAAGTGGCCAATTTCCCTGGAAATATAGCTGTAGGACAGGGTTGATGAGCTAAAAAGAAATGAGTTAATCATGAAAATTATCTTTCTTTTAATTTAAAGGAAGATGAAAATTATAATGGACAGTGTGGTAATTTTATCCATCACTTGAAGGCTATTATAACTTTTTCATGCATTTGCAATTTACCCCCAAAAAGGACATGATTCTTTTGTGGTTTCCTTTTATTCAGATGAAACTTTGAGAAACTGTGTAAGAGTTATAAAATGGAGCTTTTAGCAAGTTTTCTTCCTAATTTGCTAAATGCAAATTGACTTTTAAAATATATCGCTTAAACATATCCTATATTTCTTCTGTCATGGAACTTGGGCTCTTACACAAATTCCTAAACCAGTGGTTTCCAATTCTTTTGTACCCATGGGCATCTTTGCAAAGCCAGAGAAACCACTGTGGGCACCATACAGGCACCACAACAAATCACAAACTATTTTACTGGATGCAATAGGATGCTTCTTTCCAGACTTTCAGTGTGGGAGAGGACCATGTGGGGTCCATTGAAAGCCTCTGTGGGCACACAGAATCATAGAATTGTAGAGCCAGAATGGACCTTGAGAGTCATCTAGTGCAACACCCTGCAATACAAGAATTTCAACAAAAGCATCCATGACAGATGGCCATCCAACCTCTGCTTAAAAAGCTACAAGGAAGGAGAGCCCACAACCTCCCAAGGGAGACCATCCCACTGTCGAACAGCTCTTACCACAAAAAGTTCTTTCTAATGTTTAGTTAGAATTTCTTGTAACTTGCAGGTACCCTGCTGGTGACCCCTGTCCTTGGCAAGCTCCAGGCACTGACCCAGCCCTCTTTGCCTTCAGTAAGGTGGCTGCACCATCTGCCTTCAGACTACATAGCGCTGAGAATACTGGCTAATGAAAGCCGTGTGGACTCCAGGCTTTGGGAAGAAAGGTAGGTTATGAATTTAACAAATAACCGAGCTCTGCACTAAACCAAAGAAACAACTATTTGCACAAAGATTGCCACAGTTCTGCACCCAAATAAGGAGAATTCTAAACCCCACAAGCAGGACAGAAGGGAAATTCTTTTATTTAATTGAGTGTAAATAACTGAGGCATTACTGGGGTAAGAGCACTCTCTTTCTCTATATGCCACTTGGGCTTTTGACCTTGGGGTGCCCTTTAGATTTGGGAGGTGCAATGGGGTGAATACTGACCTGCTAGTGCCACTGTGCACTTGTCGGGTTCAAATAGTCACAGTTCTCATAGCAAAGATGAAGAATTATTTATAATCCTTTGCTGTGGGGCCACAGGTGAAGCCTATAAACACATCCAGGAGTGGGGAATTTCACTGCCCAGGCTATATTTTTATTTGGCTAATTATGTTTGTTTGGCTGTTTGCAGATCCTCTATATTGTATTTGAACAAATGTAACTTTTTTCATCATGGTTATGGTTTCTTCAGCCTTCTTTAAGGGTGTGCTGGCAAAACAACATTCATTTGTTCAAGACATTTTTTCCATCCACAAGAACAGACCTGGGATAAATAAATTCTACTTCCTATTCAAGCCTCACTGTACTGTTTGTGTTTTCTAAAGCTTATTCTTATCTAATCTCCTATCATCTGCTATCTCTGGCTAGCTGTTCAAAGCCACAGTAGTGTCAGCAAAAGGAGCAGCAATCGCTCGAATGCTTTGAGAATAAAACACAAACTGAAGAAAAAGCAGACATAAGGCAGCATGCAAGACAGAGTTAATTCTCTGCAGCCTTCAAGAAATCTTCCCCCGATAGTGTGATAATGTTTTTGGAACAGGAAATTGAAACCTTAGAGCAAGAAATAAAACAAAATAAAACAAATGATGATCAGATTCCCTTTGGTGTCTTTTCTATGTTCTGCATTCTGTGAGTTAAATCTGCAAACGTGTCTTGTTAAAGGCTGTAATGGTCAATGTTTGGGGGGCATATTGGATGTTTATTAGCATTGAAATAATGTGTGCAGTTAGAGTGGCAGACAGAATAGCAGTTGGCCAATAATAAATAAGGCTATTAAAACATGAGAGCACCCGGCTACAGTGACCCCAAAGGAAAATCAATGGGTAGTTTTTCTGCATTCAGTAACAAAAATTGACACTGCCAGATGCTAAGAGATAACCGTGTGGGGCATGCTTTTTCACTCACGCCCCACCAGTCCCCAATTGAGATTAAGAACAGAAAGTGAACCAGCCTTGAAAAAAGGATGTCTCAGAGGAAATGGACGGGATATTTTGTAGTCCCCCAAGAGGAAAAGATTCAAATGATACACCAAAAGAGAATTTATTTCTAAGATGGAAAGATGCATAAATCACAGCATGGTTAAATGCATGCAGCATAGCCTGCAAGGATATTGGAGCTCACATACTGTACTTAACCTACAATGTATCAAAAGACAGCATCAGCCCATCTTTATAGTAAAGGAGTCAAGCGGGTGGCTTCAGGACCTGTATATTGGAGGAACCTGGGGAGGGTTACTGTGAATCTGCTCTCTTGTGGATAATAAAGATGCGGGATATTGTGGCAATGCCTAAAACAACATCCTAAAAGAACAAAGGGAAATAATAACAAAAATATGTTATAATTTGGGAAGGCCATAGTTCAGTGATAGAGTACCTGTTCTTCTTGCTTTGTAATAAATAAATAATAATAATAATAATAATAATAATAATAATAATTTATACCCTGCCCCAGTGGCTGTGTTTCCCCAGCCACTCTGAGCAGCTTCCATCAAAAAAGTAAAAACACATTATAACATCAGTCATTAACAAAACACGAGCCACAGTAGCGGCATCCATAAATAACATTTTCCGACAATTTTTTTAAAAAACAACAAATGGTCAGATGAAAAAGGATCCTCAGGGCTTGCCTGATTGGTGGTACCACCACTGGGGGTTGCCCAGTTCTCAGAAATCCACAATAGGGACCTTCTCAGTTGTGGTTCCCCATTTATGGAATGCCTTCCCTAGTGAGTTATGTCTTCCTCACTCATTATAAATGCTAAGGAAGAATCTTAAAACATTCTTATTTAACCAGGCATTTGGTTGCTGAAAGATCTGTTCCAGGAAACCCTGAAATTGTGAGCTATGAGAGTAAGGTGATCGTTTTCTTTTTAGTTGCTTATCGCCTTTTTTTTTTTAAAAAAGAAGTTTTGATTTTATTCTACTTTTGACTTGTTTGCTGCTTTGGGCTCCTTCATTGCATAAGTTAGAGTTGGAAGGGACCCCTGAGGGTCATCTAGTCCAAACCCTTGCAATGCAGGAATATGCTTGTGGCCTGGATGGGGATTGAACCCGTGACCTTGGCATTGTCAGCACCATGCACTAACCAACTGAGCTAAGTGAATAATTTATTTAATGAAGAAATAAAATATAATGAATTTAGTAGACTACTTCTGTCATGCAGGGCGGGGGAACCTATGTCCTTTCAGCTGCTGTTGGATAATAACTCCCATCAGTCTTAATCATTGATCCTGCTGTTTGGGACTACTGGCTTTGGAGGGCTTCTGCATCAGAAAAAGGAAATATTTGGAATACTACTGCATTTGTGAAAGGATGCATCAACAGAAGTATAGTGCTCAGATCAAGGGAAGTAATAGTATCACTCACTTCTGCCTTAGTCAGGCCTCAACTGGAGTACTGTGTCCAGTACTGAACACAATGGTTTTAAAATGGCATTGATAAATTGGAACATATGCAGAGGAAGGCAGGGTCCGGGCTCTGGAAACCAAGGCTTATGATGAATGTTTGAGGGAGTTGGGTAAGTTTAACCTGGAGACTAGAAGACTGAGAGGTGATATAACAGCCATCTTCAAATATTTGAAGGGTAGTCGCATGGAAGTTGGAAGAAGCTTTTTTTTAGTTGTTCCAGAGGGTAGAACCCAAACCAATGGATTCAGATTGCAAGAAAGAAGATTCTGACTATATTTTAGGAAGAACGTTCTGATAGTAGAGCTGTTCAACAGTGGAATAGACTTCCACAGAAGGTGGTAGACTCCCCTTCATTAGGAGGTTTTCAACAGCTGTACACCTAAACACTGTCGGAGGAACAGGGTGTGGGGGGAATGCACTGCCCCCGGCGGCACGATCCCGGCGGGGTGCCATTGTGGCTGCCCCTCCTGTGCTGGGTGCTACGCCCCTGCAGGCAGCATGTCACGCCCCCACCTGCTCTCCACCCCCCCCACCAGAGCTTGAAGCTCCGCCACTGCACCTAAACAATGTAATCTGTGAAACAGTCCTTACCTGAATAGGTGTTATCTGAAGAGCTCTAGAAGATGGCTATGGCCATAACACATTTTGTTGTTAAATGTTTTCCACTTCTTTCTCAGAATAATGGGAGTATATGATTAGAGTGTTACTTCTAAATTGTATTACTGAGGTTACTATGGTTATACTGACATTCCCTTTCTTGTGTGTTGTACTTTCTGCAGTGCAGGAAGGCGGGATGTTCACTTGCATGATTACCACGAATTAATCAGAGTGGTTAGGCCCCACCCCCTGTATCTTAACTAAGCAAGTTTCCATTTTATGAGTGCTTCATTTCTGTGACATTCCCTAAATCACCACAAATGACTTTGGAAATGCTTCCTGTCAGCATAATGCTCCAAGTATCTTCTGCAGATTTCACACTTTTGCTCTGCGGACTCCTTACTCTGTTATAGACGATGGTGGCCGCTGTTGCCTATTGGGAGTAGTGGATTGGAAGGCAGGGAGACCAACAGTAGGTGAGGCCTGAGCTGATTCACAGGCACTGCAAACTAATTTTTTTTTATCCCCATGCTCCTCCCTTCCATAAAGGCAGTGCCCTATCCTGGGCCACAGCCCTTTAAACCACTGAGACAGGTGAAAATACCAAGAAGGCCCTCTCTGCTTTTGCACCTGGGAAGGAGGTGGTCTTTCACATATTTGGGGCCTAAGTCATTTACAGTCAAGAAATCACCTGGCAGCTAATGCAGCTCTTTTAGATCATATGAGTTCTAAATGCAAGCTGCCTACAGCATTTTGAACCAATTGAAGTTTCTCTGTTATCCTCAAGGGGAGCCCCGTTCTGGAAGGTATCAGAGCATGGAGTACCATGACCAAGTCATAGCTGCCCAATAGGAGCTGTAACTGGCCAACAAGCCATAGGTGGAAATAGGCACTCCTAGTCACATAGTCCACCTATGAGCATATCACAATTATTTCCTTATTCTACAGTTTCATTAGCATCTATCACTTTCTCTCCTTTGAAGCTAATAGAAATATGTCAATATTCTATGTCATGATTCCCTCAGCAATCTGTCTTTTAATAGCATGGTAGAGTAATTTCCACCATGCAGACAGTTAAACATCTCAGTACAGTGTGTGTGTGTGTGTGTGTGTGTGTACACACACTCTTTCTGTATATTCTCTCTCTATATGTATACCATATGAGTAAGATAGCTGGGTTCCGGGTAATATAGGCAAAATGTTCTCTTGAGGGTAATAAGCAGCCCTCATTCCCTGTAACAATAATATGACATTAATGTATCCTTTATGACATAAATGTATAACTGATAGATTTCCCTGTGGGTCACTATGATTCTGTTACAGACATCCTTAGCATGCAAAGATAATGTAAAATTGTGTGTAAAAGGAGAGAGAAATGTTTTTCTCTCCCTTCTGTTTCCATGACAAAAAGGAGGGAGAATATTAGATTAATGGATTTGCAATTTCTTCCTCCTCCCTGCTTCCTTCTCAGAACTCACAGTGGAATTGTAGCACAGGCTGTATTCTGTACTGAAAGCACAGACCAGTTTGCACAGGATTATTAGGGTTTGGAGTGTTCTAAGAGAGTTATCAGAAGAGATGGGGTGAACTTCTAATGAAAAGATGAGTGTCAGAGATTGTGATGGAGAAAAGAAATGCATGCCAGTACACTTAAATATGAGAAGATGCATCCCATAAGATTAGCAGGGCTAGTCTTTAGAGATGGGGTGAAATTTGATTCAGTTTGCCTGAAAGGAGAATACAAAATTCATATATTTTGAAACAATATGTGAACCAAAACACTATCCTTCAAAGTTTGCACTTTGAATTTTGCATTCTAGTTTTCCAGTCAAGTAATGTGTACCAATTATACGAATATACTGCATTATTTTTAGAGAAAATGAATTTTAAAAATGTGTATATTACTCAAAAGTGCATATGAAAATAGGCTTATCAGGAAAAATTCACACTAAAATTCTGATGAATGTTTGTGAGGACATAATCACAAACATATGGAAAAATGGAGAACTCAGTTTAAGATCGGAAAAAATGGAAAGCTTGGGAGAACTGAAATTGACAGATTTGTCCATCATACTAGTCTTGTATTTTTTAAAAAAACCATCTTGCAGTACCTCCCGCAGCGAAGTGGTAATAAGTTCTAATGCATGTTTTTCGGGTACCACTGGATTCTTTGTGGTCTGTTCAAGGAACATTGAGAACTTAGAAATACAGGAAACAAAACTAATAAAGCAAAATGTTGGTTCTAACTTCAAACAGAAGGGCTGAGATCTAGTTGCCCAGTGGGGGGTGGGAATGATCTGGGGAATGACCTGCCTCATGTGTTGGGCCAATGATGTTTTAATAGTGTGACAGAATAATCTGCTGAGGGCAGATAAATAACTTCTTATAAGAATGAAACACACACACACACCATAGCAGTTTCCTCATCCTGATGAGACCTCTCTGCTATTATGATCAGTGATTATCCTGCTGCTGTTCATTCTCCTAATTGTCTTTTACAGAGAGTTTAGTTTTAAACGTCTTATTAGTGACTTTGGACTTCTGCGTTGGAGAAAACATGACCCCTGTTCAGGCATTTATCTCATTTTTTTTTAAAAAATGAGTACTGTCCTGCATAATAAGAATCTTTCTATACTTGATAGAAGAGTGGTATTTAGAGTTTAATCATGCATGTCTACTGAATAAGTCCATGGGTTTTACTCCCAAGAAAATGGGACCCCTAATGTTAAATACATTTCACTGATTATTATTATTTTTAGAAAGAAAAACAAATATAGGAGGATATTTTCACCTCTCCAATATCACATCAGTGAGATTGGATATATCAGCGCGGCAAACCTGTGACCTTCAGATGACTATAGCCCCCATCAGTCCCAGTCAGCTGGAAAACGATACAGATGATAGGCTTTGTAGTCATACAACATTGGAAGGGCCACAGAATCCCCATACCAGTGTATACTATTAAATAGCATACTATTTAAGTGAAACATCTTCTAAGCACCCTCAGCAATTTCTCAAATGCATATTCCCTCTTTGTAGGACTATTTTAGCATGTCTCCAGCCTGAGAAATTTTAGGGCATTCTGTATGTAGGACAAGGCAGTGGCAGACAAGCAACTCTTGTTCAAGCAAAATCTCTTACTAGAAATGCAACAGCAATTTACACACACACACACACACACACACACACACACATATGCATTTTGCTTGCTTGGTTTACATAAAAATTTCAAAGTTAGAAACCTCTTGCTTCAAAAATCTTATCCCCCACCTCCATAATTGACACTTCTGCATTAGGTACTGTCACCAGGCCATCAATTTTCCTCACTCTTTGCTATGAAAGTTATCAAAGTGGAAATTTAGCATGGGGTGAAAGGTAGGGGGCTGAGGAGAACTGAAGATGGAAAGTGCACATTTTATCTGCATGAAAAAACCCAGCAAGGTCACATGTACTTCACTACTGATCTGGGCTGGAAGGTTCAGATTGGAGTTCTGGTTCCTTTTGGTGGGGGGAGCAGAGCATATGAAAACCTCCGCTGGATCACATAGGCTCAACAACCCTCTTCCACAGTTATTCCTCAACAACAGTTGATAATTCAGAGGCATAATGCTTGCAGGCTGAGGCACAGTGACACCATGGGTAGTGGGGCCAAGGCATGGTGAAGCTGTAATGAACACAGTATAACCATTTTGGGATAAAACAAGCCACAACTTTATTGATAACAGATGTCAGCAGGTTTTGGAACAGGCATTGGGTGTGTATCCTGTATCGATCAACCTCCTGGTGGTTGATTATTTTGGCAGGGTTAATGAAGATTAAAAATCGCCTTATGAAGTACATAAAAATCAGAGTGACCCCTCCAAGACCACTATTTTGAGAGTGCTATGGCGCAGCAGCCCCCATCTGGGTGTCCAGACAGAAGCACTTCCCCCTGTAATAAATTAAAAAAGGTATTTAAGTATACCTTCCCTAAGAAACCAGAAGCCTTCCTCCTGGGCATAGTCGGCCAAATGGTGGTAAAGAAGGATAGAACTTTCTTTATGTATGCAACAACAGCAGCAGGAATACTTATCGCAAAGTATTGGAAGATACAAGAACTTCCCACACTGGAGGAATGGCAGATGAAACTTATGGACTATATGGAATTGGCGGAAATGACTGGTAGAATCCTTGACCAGGGAGAAGAGTCGATGGAGGAAGACTGGAAGAAATTCAAAGACTATCTTCAGAAACATTGCAAAATTAAGGAATGTTAAAGTGATGTTGGACTGAAAATAAGTGGTTTCCAGCTGCACAGGTTAAAGTTAATGATAGATTAAGATTAAAGATCAAGATTAAAGATGTTTAAAGAAATGGAAATCTGATATTAAAAGGGAAAATTTTAACGTTATATGATATTAAGATCAAGGATTAGGTTTAAAGAAGTTGAAGTTATACATTTCAATATTTTATTAAATTAAAGATTGGGATTAAAAAAGTGGAAAAGAAACTGCTGGACAAATAATTTGGATTGGAATACAAAAGAGGGAGGTATGAGGAAGTCCAGAAAATAAGTAATCTAAAAATGGAAATGGAAAAGAGAGTTTGTTTTTAATTTTTATTTTTTTTTTTTTTTATTGTTGAGTTTTGTATTGCTTTTTGTATGTGTTTTTTTTTTGTTGTTGTTTAAAACTTTAATAAAAATTATTAAAAAAAAAAAAAAGAAGCACTTCCCCCTGGATCCCCTTAATGGGATACCCTAAATATTAGATCGGGGGGCTGATGCTGTTGATCTTCTCCCCTGTCTACCTTGAATAAGGATCCAACACAATGCATTGTGACAGTTGCTGTGAGGTAGGCAAAACCTGCAGACAGGCCCAATATTGTCTTAAAGTAAATTCGTCCTTGGCCCCGAATATGGTGACTGAACATTTCCATTAAAAAGTCTTACCCAAGGCCTGCCTGATTACCCAAGGATAGACTTGCAGCGTAAGACTTATGGTGGGACTGTTTGCAATCGTGGGTGAGCCCTAGCAGGCCACTGCAATCAGAGAAAATGACATCTTCCCCCAACCTGTGCCCTTCAGCCGGTTAGTGGTTCTTTCTTTTCTATCTGGTTCTTAGGAGTATAAGAAGCTGCCTTATACTGCATCAGACCATTTGTTTATCAAGCTCAATATTGTCTGTACTGACTGGCAGGTTTCAAGCACAGACCTTCCCAGCCTTACCTGAAGATTCTGGAGGGGGAATTTGTGGCATTCTGCCTATGAAGGTGATGCTCTGCCACTGAGTTATGGTCCTTTCTTGAATGGCTATGATCATTTTTGTAGCCAGCCCCTGGGGGGGGGGGGAATGCCCTAAGTATAAATTTGCTTTCTTAACCCACATGTCTATGTTATCCCTGATTGGCTTGGATCACCCTATGAAATAGAAAGAAGCCCAGGAAGGGGGTGAAATAAATAAGAGTACAGCAACAGATGGGGGTGCAGGAGGGAATGACATAAAAAGCTGCAAAAATTGGAATATCCACAGCATCAAGGTTCCCCACTCCCAAATAATCCTGTCCTTCTCTAACTCTGCCCCACCCCTGGCCCATCCATTCCCATCTTGCCAGCCATTTTCTTTTTAAATTGTTGTTGTTATGAAGTTCTATACTGGTCCTATTTCAGGAAAAAGTGGGGCTGCCGGGTCACTATTAAGCTGCTCAGTATACAGTGGTACCTCTTGTTAAGAACTTAATTCATTCTGGAGGTCTGTTCTTAACCTGAAACTGTTCTTAACTAGAGGTACCACTTTAGCTAATGGGGCCTCCTGCTGCCGCCGCGCCGCCAGAGCACGATTTCTGTTCTCATCCAGAAGCAAAGTTCTTAACCCGAGGTACTACTTCCAAGTCTGTAACTTGAAGCGTTTGTAGCCCGAAGCATCTGTAACCCAAGGTACCACTGCAAAGCTTTTGCAACAACTCTTCTGAGAATAGGATAGTCCTGTAAGTCCAGCTGCTGCTGGATAGCACTCCTGCTTACCGAGCTCCTAATGAGTATCTCCTACTTCAAGCCTGCTGGATAACATTGCAGTTGATCCAGGATGCCTTGCTGTGTGAATCCTTTGAATCTACTTGTAAAGAGGACACTGCTGGGGCAGCATGCAAAACCCCCTCTTTCTCCAAAAGTCTGCTATGAGGTTGAGTTGAGCTTGCTCTCAGCTATCCATGGTCCTGAAAAATTGCTGCTACTTACATGCCGCCACACACAGCCAAAATACAGCTCCATAGAGAGGGAGTGATGTTGTTGCCAAGTAATTTCTACTCAGAGTAGACCAGTTGAAATGAATAGACCTAAGGACGTCATGTCTGTTAATTTCAGTGAGTCTACTCTTGAGTATAGCTAAAGTTGGATACAACTCACAGAAGCAGCCAGATTGCAACGTGTTCTTAAGGTCCTACTTGCATCTCTCTCTCCCCCCCCCCCCCACACACACTTACTTTTGTGTGTTCCTTTCTGACTCGGGCAAAAAATTGTTCATTTAAATGAAACACAGCAGAGATGGAAGCTGTAGAATGTCAAAGCCGTATTCAGACCCTCACACCTCAAACTAAAATGAGTATGTGTGCATGTATTTCTATAGCACTTCAGAAATTTGCAAGAATTCAGACTGCTGCACTTGGGATATTGACTTCTCTGTGCAATGAGGTAAACTCTGCCTTGTCATGGCTGACACAAGACACTGTTTTGGGGGATGTCAATACTTGACATGGGGGGTAGGTGGGGGCTCGATACTGGTAGGTGGGTAGGACAAATGTCAATTTGTATTAAAATCTTAGTGCTGAAGCTCAGTTGGTACAAAGTTTTAATATTTGCTTCCCCTTATAGAACAAAGCTTCAAATGAGGCAATTGGCACTTCCTGACAGCACTGCCCTTCCCCCTTGGGGAGCTGACCAGCTAAATGGATGTTGTGTACATTCCTGCCTATAAATTGCAGTGTGTAGTGAAAAGACTCTTGTTGCAGAAGTGCTCAAGAGCTAGTCAGAAAATTACAATGCTTCCAGGAGGCAGTAAGTATAAGAACTGAGAACACTGTTTGTTGTGTTTCATATTTGTCATACTTCTTGTTACTTACAGTTGCTTGAAAAGGAAGGAGGGATTTGTTAATGGGATCGGTTCTGGAGAAAGTACACTGGGAATGCAGGGGGGGGGGGACCAAACCCCTGTGTGTGTGAAATGCAAATCTGGAATACCATTGCTTGGGCACACTAAGGATATAGATAGACTCAGCACTTTCATATATTTATTTACATTACAAAATTTATATACTGCTTGATTGTAACAAAGCATTTAAGAGGTTTACAAGAAAAATCAAAATCAATAAAAACAGTTAAAAATAAGTAATTAAAGCATTTTGGCTTTAGAGCTAATACAGGTGCCTGAGAGGTAATCATTATGAAAGGGCAGTAAACATGGAAGGAGAGTGCACATTTCAGGAATCCACTGAGGGGTCACATTGCATTTGCATAGATGATCTGTTTTTTAGAGTCCATGTCATTCAATGTTCGGCACATTTCCCCATCACAACTGCATTATTATCAAGTCAGATGTTTACTTTCCCCCATAGATGCAATTGGTAGTTGCTCACTTACATAGGCAAACAGTGGGGTGCATTTAAGTCCATCATGGGGTGAGGGTAAAGTCTGCACCCTATTCCTGGTGACTCCAATGGTCAGGGTGACAGGCTGGCTTTGCCACTTTGACTTTTATTAACAGTCCATTTTGTTACCCCTATAATTTTGATAGGAGCCACTGAGAACTAAGCTCACTCAGCAGACACAAGGAGAACCCTGCTCAATCAAATAGAAAGAAACCTACCTAGACTTGTATTGGTTACCAATTATGGCCAATCATATGCCCATGGGAAGCACACAGGTAGAGCATATACACATATATAGCCCAATCTTGCTGGTGTTCCTCAGTGCTCTGTATTCACTCATAGAGGACCTGTATACCCATCATGATATGGAAACTCCCATTGTAGGAAAATGCCTTGAAGGTGCATCTGCCCATAGGGAAGGATGAAGAATTTCTCGTATTGCTAATTGCCAGATAGCAACATGTACAAATATTTGGAGTTTTAATACCAGTTGCTGGAAACAACAACAGGGGAGAATGCTTGAGGGTTTCCTACAAGTATCTGAATGGTCACTATGAGAAAAGGATGTTGGGCTAGACTGGTCATTGACCTGATTCATCAGGTCCTTCTTATGCTCTCATGAGTTACTTGTATTTGAAGTAGTTGCCATTTCAGCCAGTACCTTCTTAGATAGTGGATAAATCATAAACCCTTCAACATATCAAATGTATTTCAGTAATGCATTTACCCTCCAGGTGCTGCAGATTACGGCAACTACACAAATCTGGCACAATAATTTTGTTAAGAAGCAATCGGATGAAAACCTCATGCATACATCCTACTTTGTGTTTTTATATTATTATTATTATTATTATTATTATTATTATTATTATTATTATTAATTTCTCCTTCTGGTAGCAGTACTTGCTTCAAACAAACAAAATAAAAACTAATCCTGTTCCTTTCTTTCTGGAATGAATAGTCATGTCTCAACTGTATGGTAAATTAATTCCAGTAATGAACAGCCTCCCTGATTCTTTGCAGGTAATTAGCAGTTCAGATTAATACCTAGGAACTGTGGTCAGTTTTCTTTTGAAACCCCAGGCTAATCACATAAGCAGGAATTTGGATATGTTTTTAAAGAATGCTCTCTCTCTCTCTCTCTCTCTGTGTGTGTGTGTTTAGGTGTATGTGTGTGTGGTTTGGATTCTTTGGGGGGGTTGTAAAAAGGTTGTTGCTAATGTACAGCATGATGAAACCTTTTGCAAAGCTTAAATCTATAAAATATAGTTTACATCAGTGTTGTGGTTGTTTTTTTTAAAAAAAGTTCTTGAAAACCAGTGTTTTACTTTTGCTTGCTTTGTCTGAACAAGAACATTTTCTTACCTTTGGCACATGACTTGGAAAGCTGGTAACATTTTTACTTGTAGGACTGCATTTTTTTAACCTTGCTGTTTAATCACAATAGGACTTGAACAGCACTTATTTAGGAAAGCATGCAATTGCACATGTGCAAAGTGGCACCATCTCTTGCACTCTAATTTTTTCCTCCATTGCACATCTATGGACATGGAGCGTCCATGGAGGGCCCAAATAGGATTTTCAGACAAGATTGACTCCACACCTCTGATTCAGAAATTAAGCCATACCACATGAGTTTTTGAATTCATGTATTGTTTACACCTACACACCCATTGGCTAAAACTTTAAAAAGTTTTAAAATGTGTGGAAAACTTGCTTCCAGCTGCATGCAGTTGCAAGCAATTGGTGAGCTGTATGAAGATTCTGAATTGACTCCGCCTGGTATAAATAATAGAAATCTGGCCCACAGTGAACAGGACAATGTATTGCTTGCTTCATTTGCAACCTGATCACCATTCTGTCTTCAGTTATCATATGCCTCTGGTTTTGTGGACCATTCTTTGTGGGGAACGGAATCCTTCCCCCACAGCTATAGCCTGCTCAAGAGTCCAGTCAATGCCTAATGATAGCAGCAGAGACCACTAGTGGTCTATGAAGTATAATAAACAACTAGTGATTTCTAATAATATGGTAAAAATGGTGAGAAATATGAGTGCTTTATCCTTGATGCATTCCTTACAAGAATACAGTCCAGTGCAGAAGATTCCACATAGTGCATAGATAGAGCAGAATCTACCGCACAACATATGCACCTTCTTACAGGTCTAGAAACATAATATGGCTTCATCTGGCAACCTAACCACGAGTATTGCTTGACAGTGATTGATGTCTTTTACGGAGGTCTTTTAACTTCTATGGTCCAAGATGCAAAGGAAGTTGGGGCAGCTTTGAGATGATGTGCATTAACATATTTTAACACAGTCATGTAGGCCTCACCAATCTTGCTATGCTACAGGCAGAGTGGAAACCAGACAGTATATATTTGACACATTGGAAATAACATCTCGAACACCTACAGGCTAGTGAAAGTAATTTGAGCTTGAGAAGGTTTTGGGAAGAAGGAAAAATGAAACCGGTAGTTCAGAAACACTGAAATTATTCTTGTTCAACTTAATCTAATTCAGAATGGATACCGCTTCAGGGTTGAGCAGCAACCAGAAAACACAACTGGGATATTCTTTATTTGAATCGTACATTATAATGAAAAATTCAGAGTTGGGCTGTTTGAATCAAATAAAATAACTGGTGGTTAACTTCTTCAGGGTGGTGGGAAAATGTCTACGTAGACATCAGTCACAATATTGGAGAAATGTGGTTTAGGCAGTCTGCCAAACAGGTGGTGTTTAGACCAGAGACTTTCATTTAGTTGCAAATTTCTTGAGAATGGAGATTCCCACTGGTACTTGGTTGGTGATGATTCATCAAGGCCTCTTTCAGGAGTTTCAGTGAAAAGGATTGTAATTTTGACTGATGGGATTTTCTGCAAACCAGGAGAAAACATTTCAAAGCGCTCGAGTACAGCTTTCTATATGTCAACAAGACCATTTTGATGGAAAGCCTATCCATGCCTCTGACTGGAGTGTCTCTCTACAGTCAAAGGAGATACTAATATGCCAAAATGATGTTTATTGGAAATGACCAAGAAGAGCTGTCAAAGATTACCTTCAAATGAATTATATCTCATTGCTCTGGCATCCAATGCCTCTGTATTCCAAGTTGTTGACTAATTTGGAAAGATGGTTAGATATGCTTTTTCTGAACCCTATGAGAAACCTCACTCTAAAGCTGTGGACATGGTTAATGCAAAGCAAGAAGGCAAGATTCAGAGGGCAGGAATGCTAGAAATGTAGCAGTATCTCCATGGAAGAGATGGATTCACTCCCCTGGAATTTTCCATGAGGATCCACAGGCACCAGATCCCACTTCTCCAACCTGTGCTTTCCAAATATTCCAAGTGGCTTTTTAGGGGGTGGGAAAAAGTAAACATCTCAGGAATCTGATAAACATGTTACTTTTTAACTCAGCTCTAAATGGAACCAATTACTGAAGAGGAGCAGTGGCTTTCATATTTCAGTGGTGCCTTGTACTATGTCAAAATTTGGTGCCCCTCCACCTCTCACCTTCCATTGGATGCCATTGTTGTGATGCCTTCTCGGCTTGGCACCCAGTGTGGGCAAACTGGTCACGCTCCCCAAAATCCACCTCTGACAGGCATGGGAAACTCTTCCTCAGAGACAGAGTTCATTGGCTCCATTTGGAGCTGAGTTGAAATTTCTTCCAGTTTTGTCTTTTTCTTACTTCCACCCCCCCCCCTCAGAAAAGGCCACTTTGCACAAGTTTGACAGCCAACTGTTAGAGAGTCTCTTGTTCTGTATTTCCTGCATCTAGCAGGGAGTTAGACTAGATGACATGCAAGGCCCCACTCAATTCTGTGATGTAACAGAGTAATTTAAACCCCAGCTGGGCAGTAGCAATTTATGTCAAAGTGGTTCAGCCTTTGCCACACCTGCAGCCCGTTTTCTCACAGCAGCCAGGGAGGATGATAAAGGGGCAGACAGACTGTCTGGATCAGGTTTGCTGCCATCAAGTGACAGCCTCCCCACATCCTTGTAATGCCCCAATATAGAGCTTTCTGTGAGCTACCACCCTTTCTGTGATCACCCACCCTTTCTGTGGGAAGAATGAGGAGCATCACTACATAGGTGGAGTCTGGAGGAGCTTGTCTTGGATGGAAGGGCAGAGACACCTTCTCCTTCCAGCCTGTCACATTGCACATGCCTGGGGAACATGGAAAAAGTGTTTCCTGCTTCTGAAAATATGAAGATCCAGAACCTTGTGGTCCTCCTTGGAAAGAACACACTCAAGAAAGCCCTGTCCTTGGTCATCACATATCTGATCCCCCAAAAGGAAGAGGACACTATTAGAAGGGCCTCAAAATAAGGGAGGTTCATATGGGTGAGAATTAAATGAGGCATATGTGTAGCATTTTTTTTTAAAGAGCAGGAAGTTCCATTTATTTATTTATTTTTAAAGTGTTACTTAATTCTCTAAATGTTTTCATTTGCAATTTTTAAAGATCCTTAAACTTACATGAACTCTGAGTAACAGAGTCCTATAAAAATCAGCCCTATATATAATTTCTGTTGTTCTTTTCATGGCCAGATTGAAATATAATTGAATCTAATTCTCAGTCTTATAAATTCCTTTAAATCTGTTACTCTGCTTGTCCTTGGCAGTTTTCATCTGTGCATAAATCAGTAAAAATGCTCATACAATTTTTATCTTCCTTTAGTTCCCCAACATAGCCATTAGTGAAAAATGCATTAGTACAGGTCCCCCCTATGATGCCCAGTCTCCTTAGTCAATTAATCAAGGATGACTTCATGGTTCATTTATAGCATTTTTTGGTTAAGAAGGTATGGGAACATGATTGTGCATGAGATACCATTCTTGCTTAAATCCTTGTACCAACAGCTTGTGGCTATGACAAATAAAATATATCAGTTTATATGCCAGTGGGCCTGTATGTTTTTTGTAAATTGGGTTTCCTACATAGAATATATATTATTGGTTGCTAGTCATAGGACTAACTGAGTCAAAATAAGTTTACGGGGCAAGTTAGGAATCAATAAACAATACGAATCAGTAATCAATTGATGGCAAATTAAATAAGAGAGTGGTTAGTTTGTAGGTAGGAAAATAAATAGGAACATTTCATTGTAGATTTGCACTGTTTGTATAGCCTTCTTGAATCATTCTAATCCCTTATAGCTGGGGTGGAGAATCTCAGGCCCAGGCATCAAATGTTGTGCTCCTGGTCTCTTTGATCTTTGGGACTCTCCTTAGGCCACCACCCCCCACATTGGCCCTTCTTTATGCCCTGCTTGAGTGTTTCTGCCTGGCTGGAATATGCCCTTGAACTTTGAGAATGTCTCCTGGTTGCCTTTGGCAATGTTTGTTCAGAAGACAATGAGGCCATGAAAAAGATTCACCACTACACCTTGAGAAATAGGGAATGAAGCTGCTAACCTCTGCTCCTCTACCACTTCAGCCACTGACCTTCATGATTTTGGAGGAATAATTTCTGAAGCAGAGAGACTTTTCTGCTGCTGATTTTCCAGGGTTCTGTACTATATCTGCAGTGGAGAACCTACTCTAGTTGTATAGGATTAACTAGAGTAGGTTCTCCACTGCAGGTATTTGCCTCTAATTCTTGGTGGGTGATAATGATGTGATGAGGGATGGGGCTGGATGCTCATCCTCACTCTTCCTCCTGTGGTTCCAATGTTTCTGTGTGCACATTATATAAGAGTTCAGTAAATTAAGGTTACCAGATTTTTTCCAATGAATTTCAACTGGATTTTGTATGGGGACTGATTTGTAAATCTGGGGACTGTCCCCAGGAAACGGAGACATCTGGTAACCTTAAGGTAAATCTGTCTATTTCCTATCAGTATTGCTTTTGCATGATTTTATCCATAATTCTATTCCATTTCTTCATTTATTTATTTATTTTAAAGCACCACTCCATTTGGGAAAAGATAAATCTATCCTTCTTTCAGGTGGAAAGATTAGGAAATTGTTCTATGTGGGTAAGCATAATTTTTCCTTGCACACTTGACTGAGAATGAAAATGGATACTCTTTAGTCCGATTGGCTGTTTAAAGGCAGATGCCTCACTACAATCACCAGACTGAACTGCCAGCAAAACTTTCTATCATTTCAGCTTTCTACATTATAAGCACAGAAGACACCACAGAGCTTCGGCATCCACACAAGCATTTATTTTTCACAAGGCATGTCTTTAGGGACCTAAAGCTTTCTGCTTTCAACTTTTTGGATGCACAGATTATATGGCATTTAGAGCAAGAATCTATATAGTTGGATACATTACTCTTTTGACAGTTTTTCTATCAGCTGTTCTTTCAGAGGCCTCCTTAGGAAAGACAGCTTCCTTCCCTCCTTCCACCAATGAAATGATGAAGGAAGCACTTACCTTGCCACATCCAAGTAAGGCCACTTTGATAATCCCCACCCTACCCCCCTGCTTTAATTATGACATATACATCGGCTGCTGTTAGAGGTTTTGCATATAAATGGGTCCAATTACTATGTGACAAACTGATGTTAATTTATCCTTACAAAAGCCTGCTTCTGTTTACTTAAAGCAGATGCTTCAAAAAGGAGAGACAATGCCCTTGATGTGAATTTGGACTGGCAAACTGCACAGGTACCTTCAAATGCTTTTAGAATGCTTCCCATTTTCCTTTTCACCACATGAAGCAGCTGCACATTTCCCTCTGAAAATATAGATATCATAAGAAAAATGCAATAAGAGGAAAATCTATAGCTGAATCTATTACCTGCCTCTTGACTAAAACAAGCGAATTGCTCATTGCTGTGATGGTCTGATGAGCACCCCCTCCCTCCCTCCCTCTGCTGGCTCTCCTTTTTATGATCACATTCTTAATGAAATAGCAGAGTACCATCCATAGTCACAAATCTATTCTTTTTATAGCGTGACACAGAAACAATGGATTTTACTTTTGGTTTTCAAAGAAACTTTGGTGTAAAAGAAAGGAAGCTTGTTTAAAGAAAACAAATGATAAAACAAAAGCTTGCAGGTGGAAAGAGAAAAAGGGGACAATTATCATTCTTCCTTTCTGCTAAGAATAGGAATAGGGGGAGGGTCAGAGCTCAGTGGATGATTTAATGTTGCAGCCTCAGTCCCTGGAATTTCCAGTTAAGGGAAGGATGGTGAACCTCTGCCTCCCCCAGTGATGATGCTGATGATTAAATTTATTACCTGCCCTTCTTTCACCAGCAGGCCCCAGGGTGGTGACAGGAATAGGGTAGCCCTTAAAACACACAACACTTCAGGTGTCCACAGCCAGAGTTAAGAGGTTTGCATTTTAAATATTTTGTTGTACTACAACTCCCATCTTCACCGACCACTGCCTGTGCTTCCTATGTAGCATGGGATTTGGAACCCATCAGCTTCTGGAAGGCTACCAGTTCCTCCATCCCTTGTCTAAATGGGCATTTATCCTTTCTCGTTTTTGGAGCCCCAGTACAAAGCACTTTGAAGCTGCAGTGTGCATGCAAACCAACTATGTAGAGAAGCTTCACATCAATAGAGAAGAGGTGCATCCCTTTGCTTCTGCAGAGCTGCTTCCTCCACTGAAGTGAATGGGTGGGTTCCTAGTAGTTGGGGAAAAGGCTCTGAGTTAAGTGGTAGCTCTGGTAGTAAGGCTAGGATTTACTTCTGCATGAGAGCTGGAAAAGTTATTGCCTGTAAGAATGCAAATAATCGTACTTCTAGTCTATACAGTTTTGCTTTGGATATTGAGCTCTGATATGTGAGTACTAATTACATATGGATAAGTTGCTGTTATGCAGTGATGTAAGAAAGCACCTTCCCACCTCAATGGAGGCTTCCTGTTTATGGAATGCCCTTCCCTCTGTGGCACATTTTGGCAC